TGCCCCGGCCGAGCACCCCCACTCCCCGTCCCCCCGGGGGGGGCTGCCCCCTGCCCCGGCCGAGCACCCCCACTCCCTCCGCCCCGGGGTGGGGGGGGCTGCCCCCTGGGGTGCCTGTAGACCGTGCCGTCCGAGAACTGGTGACCCTTGTGGGTTTGTTGCGAGCTCTTGTCTCCTGGGAGGCGCCTGGCCCTGGCTACCCCGGGGTCCCCCCTTCGCGGAGCAGCCCTCGACCGGAAGCTCCTGCCGCGGGTGGTACAAGGGGAGCCTGGTTTCCTGGCTCCCTTCTTGGGATGCTCCGGAGTCCGAGGTGTTTCGTCTCCCTGTGCTAGGGCCCGGGATTCCCGCGCCGCCAGGACCGGGGCTTTCCCCGAGGGCTGATCCCTTCGCCCCAGGGGCCGGGCTTGCCCAGTGAGTGCACGGCTGTGGGGTGAGGGGACCGGGGCAGATGGTAACCGGCCATGTGGTGCGCTGCCGGACTGCGCTCCGTACTCGAGACCGAGGCTCTGGCGCGGCCTGCAGGGGGCTCTGGGCTGTCGGTAATGGGTTTTCCTAGTCTGGCTCCTTTGGGAAAGCGGCGGGACACGGACCTTTCCGGCCAGGACACGACGGCCTCCGCAGGGAAGGAGGCGCCGGCAGAGCAACCAGTGTCCGTCCCGAGGCTGCTCCGAGGCTCGATTGCACTCCCGAGGGGGCATCCCAACAGTTCTCCTCCTGGGGGAGGGAGGGGTATTTAGCGTGACTAGATGTCCCGATTTCATAGCGACAGTCCCGATTTTTGGGTCTTTTCTTATATAGGCTCCTATTACCCCCCACCCCCGTCTCGATTTTTCACATTTGCTGTCTGGTCACCCTACGGGTATTCTCCAGCGGTTTCGGCACCCCTGCCCTGACTGGACTCTCTGGAGGGATCCCACCTTTTCCTTATCCCGTGTTCTGCCCTCGTTCTTCCCGCACATCTACACATGGGGGGAAGAAGGGGGGACTCCCAGCAAATCCCTCTGCTCTCTACTGCACCATAGCACACCCTGGAAGGTGCTCCTTGTCATTTCTCTTATTACCTGACCCACAAGCTCCTATGCTTAGGGACTTCATTTGATACAGGTTAGTGTCTCAAATAAGATCCTGATCTGGAATTACAGGACAATGGAGCCCTTGAAACTTTTGGGGTCATCTCTGGGGTTAGGGCAGAAGCAGGCTGTGGGTTCCTGAATTGTTTACAGTTGGGGGTAAAACATTCTTGGCCTTTGCTTTGGCGTTATCCTTTTCTCCAGGATGCAGCATAGGCACAGAGAAGCTGGTGTACATTTTACCTGTTACTGTAAATAATTAAACTTACAATTTGTACTTAATTTTCTGTTTCAAATTAGTGGTGTGTAGGGGCTGTAGGGCTAGTTTGGATCAGTAGCAGATCAGAGTCTGTAAGTTGCAAAGTAGAGTTCAGTTCATATAACATCTGAGGCTGGCTATGATGGAGCCAGTTCGCAAAGTGTAATGCTAAACAGCAGTACATCCATGCCAACCTCAGGGTGGGCAGGTCTCTTTTCCACTTGCCATAGGGTAGATTGAATTTGATATTTCAGTTCAGCCCAAACTACACATTACCCATCTCTTAGAGAAGCTCTCTTTTTATTAGGAGCAGATGTATGTAGCACAGTAATAAAGTGGGATAATGAAGTGAAGGCACTCTGAGGATGCTGCAGAAAGTGATCCATGTAATCTGAAAACCAAAGAAAAATCACCCAGTCACTTCATGCCTCAAGTAGTTTATTGTCCTGTACATCGGATCTTGGATTAAAAGATCCTCTAATAAAATGTTCCTTATTGAGACATTTTAAATTTTAAAGATCGAGCTGTCCAAGAATGCAGTACTTGACCCTAGTTGTCACCCAATGCAGTTGTTATGGCATTGTTGTCAATGAGGTCTGGATTACTGTGCTCTCTACAAACTCATGAGATCTGGATCTTTCAGTTTAACAGGCCATAGGAGCAGCACATACTATTTTAAAGTAATTTAGCTTCTTTAATCTTCTGTTCCTATGCAGCCTTTATAACCTGTGGTAACAGTGTTAAAATGTACTGTACACTGACCCTCAACAGTGCTGGAGATTGACAGTTAATGATTCCAAAATATGGAAGTTATAGAATTATAAAACTTCATGTAATTGATTTTACATAGTAAATTAATCTATAGGCATTTGTTAGAGTTTAAATAGAGAGCATCCAGGCAAAGCATGCTGTGAGTGCTGTAGAGTATTGGGGGAGGAAGTGCCCCTAAATAGTAAATTTTCTTTTACCTCCATCTCAGTTACTGATGAAGAACTCTGAAGGGGTGTTTCAGAGAGAGCAGTTTTCAGGGGGCAGACGGGAGCGATGATGCCAGGCTATAATCTTATTGCCTGGCCGTTGAGAAAACAAACGAAAAAGCCATATGAAGTGAAATATGGTTCCTGACTGCTTGCTGGACAGCCTGCCAATCCATATGTCAGAATTTTGGATTTGCTGACTGAGTCAGTATATCGGTCATGAGGTTAAACTGTACAGTTCTGACCTCAGTTTCTACATAAAATTCTTCAAGCAGATGGAAGATAGATTTCTTGTCCTGCATTTACTCATCAACTTGTTTCATACTGAATTTTTGAATGGCTAAAATGTGTGGACTTGCTTGTTTATAAGGAAACTGAGTTAAGAGGCTAATTCTTACCTTTGCCATCAGGTCAGCCAAATCAGTCAATCAACGTATGTAGGACTTTGAAGTATTAAACGGATCAAAATCTTGACCTTGTAGGAAGACGATACCAATCTAAAATACAGCTTCGGTTTTTTAGAAAATCACATTTGTCAGCAATGTGTTAAATTCAAGTCCTCCCTGGATTAATCGGCTCAACTCTTTCCTGGCCTGAATAATACAATGTTAGTGCAACTTTCAAGGTTTTAATAGGTGCAAAAATAACCCTTTAGTGGGGAAACTGACAGTCAAAATAAAATATTTATGTACCAATGGCTTTCTTCTGGCAGTAGTGTTACTTGTTTCTAGCTCTGCTGAACCTTCTTTGTTCTAGAGCTCTGTCTAATGTTTTGGAATTCAGAATTATTTAACTTGTATTTGAGCAAGTGTCATCTAATTAGTTTCCCATTTAAAAGAATTCATTTGTCTTTTTAAACTGTAAACTTAGCACAGTTTGTCAGACCTGTTGTATTAGTGCTTTCTGTAACATAATATAACAATTTGCAATTGGAGGTAAATATTCTGTGAATTTTTTTTACCCTCCTGTATTTTAGTCACAGGTATTTTTAGTAAAAGTCATGGACAGGTCATGGGCAGTAAACAAAAATTCATGGCCTGTGATCTGTTCATGGCTTCTACTATATACTCCTAACTAAAACTGGGGCTGGGGGTTGGCCTGGGACCCCCGCTGGTGGTGGGAGGGGGGGCTTGGCAGTGGCATGTGGCCCGGGACCCCCGCTGGTGGTGGGAGGGGGGGCTTAGCAGTGGCATGTGGCCCGGGGCCCCGGCTGGTACTGGGGGAGGGTTGGGTTGGCGGGGCTGGCAGGCTCCCTACCCGGCTCCGACCAGCACGTTCCTGCAGCTCCTAGGGGGAGGGGTGGCCAGGGGTGCTCCACGCGCTGCTCCCGCCACAAGCACCGCCTCCGCAGCTCCCATTGGCCGGGAACCGCAGGCAGTGTGCGGAGCCCATGGCCCCTCCATCTAGGAGTTGTAGGGACATGCTGGTGGGAGGCCCCCCCCCAGGTAAACGCCGTGCCACCCTGCACTGCAACCCCTGGCCCTGAGACCCCTCCCACACACCTAAACTGCTGCTGGCCACTGCAGAACTCACAGAATCCATGACCTCCGTGACAGACATGCAACCTTATGTATAAGTAACCAGACCAATATTTTCAGAGAGGATTCGATTAGCAGTTAACAGCATTGATGCTGAGCTTGTGACAGGTTAGTTACCCACATAATTTAATATACATTAATAATCTTATTATCCTGCATATTTTGATAGACTTTTCCTGGCCAATAATATTGGAAGAATAAGCCCAGTGTTTAAAAGTGCCTATAGGAAGGGGGTGTCCTCCATCTTAGTCTTTTCAACCAAGAGCAAAGGTAGTGTACTCAAGAGATCAACTCAATAAACTGTTAATAGACCTTGGAGGTTCTAGATTCCAAAGCCTGTAAGACAGGCAACAAATGCTTCATGAATACTGTGCAGGTAGATATTCTAATTAAGCAGAAAACTTCAGTGGCCTGTAGCTGATGCGACTGCTA